TTCCTTGTTTTGTTTGAATTAATTTTACCAATCTGATACTAAATCTGATGATTTGTTTATATATAGGCCTATTTATATAATCATCAAAGAAAGGTAAATACAGTGTTCGAATAAAGGACATAATAATACATCGTGTAGTATAGCTCTCAACGAATGTAGTCCTGTAGATAAATGAATAAAGAAATTGTGTAATAAAATGCCTCTGGCGGGACTCGAACCTGCGACCTCTCGCTGTCAAGGCGAGCGTCATAACCATTCAAATACCACCAGATACACTCCATTCATGGACCTATAGGTCCATGCTCCATTACACAATAGGTACGGCTAGAAACATCGGATTTAGTATCAGATTGGTAAAATTAATTCAAACAAAACAGGAAATTGATTCTTTTTCTTTGCGTGACAAAATAAATTCATGAAATGAGTGTCCAGGTTTTATATATACAGTATATATATATATATATATATATATATATATTAGTCTATGGACACTCATTTCATGAATTTTCTCACACAAAGAAAAAGAAAACAGTTTCCTTGTTTTGTTTGAATTAATTTTACCAATCTGATACTAAATCTGATGATTCGTTTAAATATAGGCCTATTTTTTTAGTCTAGGGATATTGGCAGAGGAAAAAGGGAAGATGAGGCTAATAGCCCTATGTATTATATACCGCATACATATATTCAGGCATCTGATTGGTTAAATATATGACGGAAGTTTTGAACGATAGTTCATTTTTACCGGAATAAGTATTATCAACCTAAATCGATGTTCTGCAAACTATGGGCCGCGAAGCATTTTTGGAAGCCGCGAAGCCGTCTGAGAAATTGAAAAAAAAAGTTTTATATAATACTATTGCGTATTGCACAATATGTTAGCATTGACCTACAGGGACTTGATCGGGAGACCATGTCACAGACAACCACTGTGTTGTTATTCACTGTGATGAATACAGTTAATTCATGATTGAGATATTCTACTGGCGTAGTATACTATTATTTATGTGAACCTACCAAACCTAACATTGGTGACGAGGATACTGTTCAACATGCTGTGTGATGTGATTTTTGACACGAGTTGCGCATTTACGGCTACAGAACAGCCATCATCAGAAATAACAAAGTGACGTGTCATCATAGAGAAAATATTTTTCAATACAGCCACTTCATTGTTACAGCATATTTACTAACCGTCTCGCATCGTGCGGGACGGTCCCGCATTTCAAAGTGATTTTGGATGAAACACGCATTTTGCAAAAACACATGCGTGATCCTAAATTTGTGACGCATTTAGCACAAGTCTATGCGTGATATGATATTACGAATTCAGGTAAATGTATTTAAAATTAGAAGAAATTGGTTTAGTAAAAATATAAAAAACGGTCATGTAGTAACTTGAGTCGTTAGAGAGTATTACGTGAATACTTATTTCACTGAAGCGTTACTAAAAATTGATCAGTAAAAAAATATTTGTGTGTCTATATAGTTCGGGTGCTCAAATTAAACGTATCTTTAAACTCAAATCGTATGTGGCTTTATTAAAAATATTTTTGCTTATGTAGGCCTACCTGTATTGTCAACAAACACTCCCTGAAATCGTTTGAAAAGAGCTTAAATGCTCAGGTCGCCAGAACGCCACAGGCCACGCCCCCTCCCCCTCCGCCGAAGCGCCATCCCTGACCCCGCCCCCAGCCAAATGGTGTAGTCACGCATTTCAAATCTTTCAGGTTGGTAAATGTTCAGCGAATGCGGAGCTTGCATTGCACCCTCCATGATTGCACACACTGCTAATTGCTAGATGATTCTTTTCGTGCTATTTGAGTATAAGTGGTTTTCACTATGTTATCGTCTAGTCAGGGAGTTGTTATTAATAACAACTCCCTGGTCTAGTATAATATTAACCCTGTAAGATCGAGTAGATCCGGTATGGAGGAATGATGGGGTGAGTCATGAACTAAAGATAAAAATGAATATAAGACCCGTCTTAGAAAGTTAACTACAGTAAACAACACCATACATTTTCTGATAACCGAATGCCCATGTCGATACTTTATTGGTAAACATAGGCCAATACCTGTAGAGTAGTCTTTCAAAGTTGCGGAGTGAGTGACTGAGTGTGCGTGAAAGTTTTTGGAAGGAGAAAGCTATGACGTGTGTGGCTGAACCGTGTTTGGTTGAATAATGATAGAAAAGGGGGAAAAAAAAGCAATCAACAATTGTCGTTGGGAAAACACAAATGTACTGTATTATTTATTTAATAGAATAATATTTAATTTGTATACAATGAAATTTTGTCGCTGAGAGAACAGACAATGATGTCAAAATACTAAAATAGTGCATGGAGGATATTTCCTCCATGAATAGTGTATATACATGGAGGCTTCGTGATCAAAAGTTCTTGCCAGAATTTGGTATGTTGGTCGCGGCTGTACTGCTGGGTCGCGGCTGGTGCCTGGAATCGTAAATAGGCCGTGAAGTAAAAAAGTTTGCGGAACGTTGCCCTAAATGATAAAACTTTTTTGCCCTGTCGCGATGTGTCTCTAGGCAGCCACATTTAACGTTGCTGTGTAATATTGACTGCTCAAATTAAATAAAATTTAGGAAAAAAAGTAATAAAACATAAGTGTTTTCGTAGTTTTTGGGACACACCATATGTGCCATCATACACATCATTTGATAGATAGGCAACTATAATAGCTTTATTATGATACCAAATAATTATATTCAAATTGACTCTTTTAGTAACAGTTGCTTCAAAATACAATTCTAGGGTTAAGAAAAAGTGTAAAATTTTCCGTTTTTGTGGAAGGTAACCTTTGACATACTGCAACACCGAAATACAAAATGAATGATGTCTTACATTTTGTATAGGTGTTTTATTTTGTATGTGGTCAGTTTTTGAATGTTCAGACGAAAAGGTTGTTAGCTTAGCATTTTTCGTATTATTTAGTAAATATGTAATGTTAAATTTAGCCAAAAAAATCATAAAAAATATGGTTTTTTGTACATTAATTTAGGTAACACAATTAACATTAATGTATCATCATACACATCATTTGATAGATAATTTTACCAGTTCGTATGATACCTAATATATTAAAATTGAGTCTTCCACGTCTACATCTAAAATCTCACAATGGAATTTAGAAATTGTGAGCCAAAAAGAGCCCCATACTCAGAAAGCCACGGGTTTCCCGGCCCCAGCGTTACGCTACTGAAGCCAGGTGTTAAAAAAATGTTGCTTGATGTTTCAGAAAATCTGTTCTTGAGCTTCACCCAGAAGCTCGCAGTCACCGTCAAATAACTCGCGTTGTTGAGACTAACTGGAGGTATAAAATTGTTGAGACAACATGTAATTTTTGTTCTTATGTTTAATCGTCTTATATAAACGCTTGTTTACATTGTAATCTGATAATTGGAGGTTTCTTTGAACAAATTTAAACGTATTTTCTATCTCGCTTGTTCTATATGCGCCTCATTCAGCGCACTCAGGAAATCCATGGTAAGTTTTTAAATGTTTTCCCACCTTTCTATAAAAGAATTGAATTTTTCGTTGTTCCAAAAATACAAATACAATATGTAATTGGCACTTGTTTCGAATCCCGCTTATATACCATTTGGAAATCACAGAACAGAAGGATAAAAGGCGTAGTCTGATTCGATTTTAAAATGAATATCAACATCTGTTATTGAATTAAAAATGGTATTGTCACAAAGGATGTAGTCAACCACACCTTTGCCATGACGGCCTATGAAAGCAAAACAACTATAAAAAAAAATAATTAAAAAAAAAATGTAAAAAAAAAACAAAAAAAAAAACGCCCATGATTAATTCTTCCGTTTCATTTCCACGATCATGACAAAATGGCGTAAATATATGTGACGTGATACGAAATTCACCAATCAAATGACAAGGATTTAACTTTTTAGTCATCTGTGGGCTTGCAATATCCTGACGCCTTTTACATTTAGGCCTACAGTATGTGCATTTAGTAGGCCTATATTTAGACTTTCAGGCTTTGGACTCCCACAGTAAAATATAGTGGTAAAATCCATTTTATTATCATGGTAAAATCAGCATTATTCAAGATCTACATTACGTTCACACATTTTTAGATCTTGAACATAAATTTCCGATTTGGTTACATAAAGAATGTAAAATTAATAATATATTAACAAGAGAGCGTTTAGTCCCGTTTGTAAAAAAAAAAAGAAAAACGACCAGTTGTAAAATACAAAAGTACGTCTATATAACTCTTTTATACCGTATATCTATCAGTATGCAAACTACTAAGTATATTATCATTAAGTTGTAGCGTATGCGCTGTAATTTATTATCTATATAAGTAGGTTATAGTATTTGTCATATGTATGTATTTTGAGGTTTAAACCGAACGAAATAGTACCTTGCTGCTGTTGCACTTCGCTCTACACTACAGAGGGCGGCAAACTGAAATCCACTAAAATCAGAAATCGAGCTCGTATGTCCGTATGTCCGCGCTCACAACGCAGCTGGCGATATCCGCTCGTTCGTTCGAATCTTACGGCTTAACTTTTGTCGGTTGTTGACTTTAAATCAATCATTAGCTATTCCCAAATATGAAAATCGATATACACAATCATATTTTACCTAAGAGATGGCCAGATTTGAAAGAGGTGAGCGCAAATTTTAGCCTAGGCCTAGCTACTGTAGGTGGTAGGCTAGTCTAGGCTAGTAGACCTGTATGTAGGCCTAGCCTAGGCCTAGTAGTAGTAGCTTAGGCCTAGGCCTATATAAGTATAGCCTGCTGTAGGTTACTGTTGTGTGATGCCAGCGATAGGCTAAGCCTAGCTAGCTTGGGTCTAGCCTAGAGCATCCGTATTCCTTTTATCTATATAAGTAGGTTATAGTATTTGTCATATGTATGTATTTTGAGGTTTAAACTGAACGAAATAGTACCTTGCTGCTGTTGCACTTCGCTCTACACTACAGAGGGCGGCAAACTGAAATCCACTAAAATCAGAAATCGACCTCGTATGTCCGTATGTCCGCGCTCACAACGCAGCTGGTGATATCCGCTCGTTCGTTCGAATCGTACGGCTTAACTTTTGTCGGTTGTTGACTTTAAATCAATCATTAGCTATTCCCAAATATGAAAATCGATATACACAATCATATTTTACCTAAGAGATGGCCAGATTTGAAAGAGGTGAGCGCAAATTTTAGCCTAGGCCTAGCTACTGTAGGTGGTAGGCTAGTCTAGGCTAGTAGACCTGTATGTAGGCCTAGCCTAGGCCTAGTAGTAGTAGCTTAGGCCTAGGCCTATATAAGTATAGCCTGCTGTAGGTTACTGTTGTGTGATGCCAGCGATAGGCTAAGCCTAGCTAGCTTGGGTCTAGCCTAGAGCATCCGTATTCCTTTCTGGATCTTGATTGGTAATTGACAATAATATGTTTCCAAGAAGGTTTGGTTTTACTGTATGTATACCGTCACTGAACACTGCAGAATCTGACTGTTTATAGATGCATATACCCGACAAGGAGTTTGTCAAAACCTAGGCCTAGTTTGACAAGTGCATCCATGGCCACTTTGCCAAAACGCAGTTTGCCGAATTCAATTCACCGAAATCAATTCACCGAAATCGTGCAAACCCATTTTTACCGTAACCCAGTTGCTAAATCTTGCCATCACCGTCGCACAAAGTACAGCATACTGTGCCTTTGAAAAATGATGGGTGAGTCAGGGAGGAGCCGTGTTTATATAAATTAAAAGAAAAACTATTGCCACTGGAAAACAACAAGGCAGCCACGATGAGATCATTGCCAGACCAAACATTATAATTTTTCTATCTACATATGTTATTTTGTTACCAATCCCTGAGATCTAAAAGCATAATTTTGGCCATACTAAGCCCTACAAAAGTCCTACCTGGGACCCTGGCCGAGGTTCTAGTCGGCCCCTTGTTTCTGAACCCATCAGCAATTTTCTGGAGCCACACTAAATTCAGGTCTAAATATAGATCTGCAATGGATTTAATCAATCGGTCACCAAGCACATCTCTAGAACAATTTAATGGCATGAAGTTCATTTATTATCATGGTATATTTAATTCAAAAACAACAATTACAATTGATAAAAAGTATAAGAATTTGCTGCATGCAGTTTTATAATTAGACAATTAATGGCACTATAATACAAGGCAACAATTTGAGTTTAGTACTTTTGTATACTGTGTGTATTTACATTAGGCCTGGTTTGTGGTGGGTGGTAATATTAGACTGGTTTTTCCATCATGGATAGAGCAATTTTATTCGGAAACTTTCATTACTCATTCGGGAGACGTGATTTTCAAAGTTACGACACCTTAAAAAACAAGCAAAATTATGTATTTCTTATGATTTTAAATATCATTCACACTATTGTTTTTTCGCCATCAATTCCATGCAATAAAGTTCAATAATCTGATTAGTGTTTCCAATAGTAATGTCAACTCAACCCCATGCCAACTTGGCTTCCGTAGGTTCATGTTAACTCAGTCATAAACCAACCTTGGTGTCGTTCAAATTAATTCCAATTCAGAAGTCAAAGTTAAGGCCTACAACAGTACTAGGACTTTACTGCTGGACTGCCCTATAATACATTTCCTAACCTTGGCTCCTTATTTGTAAACATCAATACCAAGCCATACTCATAATTGTAAATTACGCCCTTATAAATTATAAAGGACGACTATGTAACATTGCTAACCATTCTTGGACCACAGCTTTGTTTTTTATAAATAGGTTGAATCACAGTGACTACATAACAGTGATACACTGCATTATTCTTTTGTTGATTACAGTACTTACTAATCAAAAGAGTAGTTGAGCTGATCCCTCAATGAGTGGGTGTGCAGAGGTGTGTCACTATACTCTTTCCCTATTGGTTCAGATTAGTGTGCTTTGTCGGTATACAGTCGCTTGTCTCTACATGGTTTGAGTGAAGAAAAAGAATTACAAATAATTTTTACTTAGTAGGAGTTGGGTAAGGCAGGGGCAAAAGAGACAAGTCATGACATAATTATTTACTGTATCTATTAATTAGACATAACTAAAAAAGAACCCCAAATGTTTGTTATCATGTTTTTGTAAGTAGATGAGGACCCGTTGTATTAGGGCTTGGCCAGGCCTCACAGGCAGACCATGTACAATGTGTGTTGTGAATTTTACGTTAAAGAATGAAAAAAATTAAATTGACAGTTAAAAAGAATGTTGGTGGGGATAAGAATGTGTTTTTTCCAAACATTTTGCCTTGAATTAAATTTATTTATTTGGCAGGAAGGAAAATATTCTCTCATAGTCAGTACAGTACCCAGTTACACTAAAATATGTTTTCATAACATTGCTACAGTGTTTTCACAGCAATTGTTACCCTATTCCCTTTCTGATACAATAGGGAAGTCTCCCCAGAAATGCAACTGACCTTTCATTGTACACCTACCAACTCTCATGAGCATCCACTTTTTACATTTCATGCCTACGTTTGTACTCGCATCTCCTTTGTGAGTCCTCGGGTTGTATTAATCCTGGAGAAATGTTCCATAAACGTTGAATGAGGATGTTTATAAAAAATAAAATTTATAAACTGTATGCCGATTACAGTATACCCTAAAATTCATAAAAATGAAGTGGATTCGTCATTAAAATGTGAATATACAGTATGCCCTGTAAATTTCTTTTTATAAAGCTATACCGACTGAGGACTGTAATCCTTAGCAGTTCCACTACAATTTAAAAAAGAAATAACATAGATTGTGCTCTAATTCGTGATTACTACATAATTTAGAGTGCGCTATATACTGTACAAGTATACTGGTATACCGTTGGCGCGCCTTTTATCAATTTTATTGCCCGGTTCAAATTTGAAACAACTTCATTTTTCATTCCAAAATATTTATAGTAATAATTTGAGTACTGATTTATTTTTTATGTATTAGTACTAAATGCTATACTGCATTATATTGCAGAGATATGGGTATGGTGGCTGGATCCAACTACACCACCATTGCGAAGGGAAGGCAAAGATGATGAAAGATGGCAAATTATTCCGTATTATAGATCAGAATTGCTGGGATCCAGCAACAAGGATTGAGGAGATGGATCAAACAGGTAAGAAATTACATTTTTAATCCCAATTTTGTTCTATAGTATTATTGTTAAATATAGATTGCTTGTAAAATGTTGCATTAAATCAAATCAAAATTAAAGTTTCTTTTAGTAAGATACTGTACCTTGAAGGTCATTACAAATCAGGGCTGTATTCTGTCTTCTAAAGTAGTTATTGATTATTAATTAAGTATTACAGTTAATGTAATTATCAATGTTATTCTTATTATGTTGTGGAGCCACCAGCAAATGTATGTCCTAAGACCTATTGCCGGATACTTAACCGGTCCTGATTTTGAATACTTTACACTTCTTCAGTGTCGTCTCCTCAATTACTGATGGGGAGTTTCAAAATTTTTGAACTCGCATCTTCTTTGTGAGTTGTCAGGTTGTATTAGTCCTGGAGAAATGTTCCATAACCTTTTCTGTAACAATTCCAGTCTCTGGATACTGACTTCCCTCTCCCCAAGTGTAATACTTTTACGAGGTCCGGTCAGGATGGCAATGGGCAGATGGTTTGGTATGGCCTTTCACAACCTCTGGTGCTGCAATCACAGCTGCTTCCATTTGTCCAATACATGCGCCTGTAAGTTGTGCAACTCATCAGCATTCCTCTCAAGGCATCACCACCTCACCTGCCCTTGGCTAACAATAAACATCAGCTGGGGGTTAAATAAACACATTTTGGCAACAGAAAAGATTTTACATGTTCTGTATTGAAAAATTAGTGCAGATATTGGCTTAAATCATTGTCATTAGTTTGACATGTGTCCTTGTTGGCTTGATAGAGCATCATATTCATTTTTTGAATAAAATGTTTCAAAATACAAATACAAATTTTTTTATTAACATTAATTTGCTATGTAACAAAAAGCAGCTGCATTTCCTATATATAGTGATAGTAATATCAAGCTATTCATCATTAAGAAATAATTTTTAAAAATAATAAATAGATTTGCCTAAATAATACAATTTTCCTGATTTGCTAGATAATTTTCATATTACAAAAAATGTATGCATTTTTTTAAAATTAGGAGTAACTGTACAAGCATTATCCACAGTGCCAATCATGTTTAGCTACTGGGCCAAACCAGAGGATGCCTTAGATCTTTGTAAGATCATAAACGATGACCTTGCTACTACGGTTAAAACGCATCCATCACGATTTGTTGGCCTTGGAACAGTTCCTCTTCAAGCCCCAGATCTTGCCATTCAGGAAATGACCAGATGTATACAGGTACACTATAGTTTTTTTGTTTTTTTTAGCACCTGGTTTGACACATACTGTAGGTGTCGCCTTCGATCACACTGGGGGTGATGTTTTAATTCTATTTGTTTTTTGAAAACAAGGCAGTAATGAGTTGAATTGCTATCATTTCCCAAGCTAAAGTACTGTACATTTTTACCGATACTGTGCCTTGGCGAGAACGTATGCCTTTACTGTGATGTGGATTTTTGTCTGCGACATAATATAATAGAGTATAATCATGTTCATCATCAAACATCCTTGCTTTGTCTTAAATCATTGTGTTATCCATATTTAATAATCTACCTTCCAAAGCCAACCGTGTGTTAGCAACAATGTATAAATTATAAAAGAATTTAATTGCAAGGCCATAATAAGAACCTAGCTTTTTCCTGGTACTAACTTAACCTAATAATTTAATTTGGTGTTCAATGTGTTCCATACATGTTTGATCCAATGACCGAGGTAGTAATGTGAAGCACTTAGAGGCTTTGTAAAGGCATTAAGCGCTATATAAGAACGACATATTATTATTATTATATCAAAGGCAAGTTATAGGCAAGTTAATTTAGCTAAGCACAACTACTACTGTACATCAAATGCTCATCATATATTTATGCAGACATGCTCCTAATTTAGGTATATTTGGCATCTCTGTGGCTTGGTGGATACTTGCCTTTCAATCCAAGCTACAAAGTTCAAATCCTGTATTAAATCCTTTTTTTTCCATGACAAAACTATTCTACTGAAATCATTTGCTTTGGGGTCATTCACAATTATCAACATTTTTACAAGTGTGCTAGGGTGGAGGCTGTAGTAACATTTGTAAACTTTTACATATGCATGAAAATTATAACACAACCATGGATATAATATATATTTTTATGTAACCAAATACAGTACTTTAGTTGAAAAAATGTAGAATGGTTTTGTGAAAACAACATTTACACTTTCGGAGAGGTGGTGGGGGGGGGGGAAGGGTGCCAAAAAAGAGTACTGTTTGTACACTTGTGAAAATGTTGATAATTGTGAACAATCCCTTTAAGAAAATTAAAAGGTATATTAACATAGCAAAATACATACCACAGATATCACACTAATATACAATGTGATAGTTGAGAATATTTTGTTCAGCCATTTTTTTCACCCAAGTTTGGCTGGGGCCCCTAGAGACCAGCGGCAGCCACCATGCAGTGTACCAAAATTTAATGAGTAAATTTTATTAGGTAAACGTTATTAATATGCAAAAAAAATGGATTGGAATATAGTAAAATTACAATTACAGTAATGATATTTTGATGCTGAATACATTAATTATATAAATAATGATTCTATAATTAGTGAACAGTGCTATAATTATGTGTATTTAAATTATTATTAGAAGATGCCACATGTAAATCACAATTATCTGTATAAATAGTTGTAGTTATTGAAGACAATGTGCCTTCTTCTGTAACACTTCAGGAAAAAGTATAGACAGAAAGCCAGACAGACAGTTTATGACTTTCCTACAACTTATGCAAATTTGCAATTAGTTAAGAATTCTCAACAACTACTAGTTGTACAGTAGGTTGTATTGTACATAATAATGCATTCCCTTTGTTTGATTGCCTGACCATCGTTGGCGTGCAAGATAGCTTATATAAGGGTATATTTAGGAATATATGAGGATGATACTCATCACTAGGATTACATTGATGATAATTTTGATGACTGATGGTGATGACAATTAAATTAAATTATTTTTGATGATTTACAGTACAGTCTGATGATGATGATCTTGATATTGAGGATGATGATGAATATTAATAGTGATGGTGTTGAGTGGTCATCATATTAGTAATTATTTTGATGATCATGGTTGAAATAATAGTAATAATAACTGATGATATTGATAATGATGACAATAGTAGTTGAAAATAATGATTGGGATAAATGTTTCATGATGACGATTCATTATTTTGATGATATTATTGATTGATGATGATAATATTAATAATAATGATTATTAATGATGATGATTATAATTAATGTTAATTTTTAGTGTAATGTTTGTGATTTAAGTATTTATTCTTATGTATAATTTTCTTCTCTAGGAGCTTGGCTTCCCAGGTATTGAGATTGGATCCCACGTCAACGATTGGAATTTAGATGCTCCAGAACTTCAACCATTTTTTGCTGTGAGTATTTGTGGAATATACAGTATATAGTAAAGGGAGTTACATGGGTATTGTGAGTATTTGTGAAGCCTTTTTACTCCAGCATTAGCAAATAATTAGACATACTCCTGTAATGACACGGTCTCATTATATTAAGGCACACCTCAACATCAGGAGTGTTTGTGCATTGCCCAAGAAAAAAAAAGTAGTTTGCAACCTCAGCTTTGTAAAAAAAAAATGAAGCAAAATAGAGTCTACAGTAAAACCAAAGACAAGGGCTTGGAACATTTAGATTTATTCTATCCCTCCTCATCCAATCACTTCATTATTAATTTTTAGTATTTTAAGTACTCTTAAAAATGGTTCTGCTTGTTTTGCTTTTAAACATTTCTAGGCAGCTGAGGAGTTGGACTGTTCCATCTTTGTACATCCATGGGATATGGAGATGTCGGGGAGGATGTCCAAATATTGGTTACCATGGTTGGTTGGAATGCCAGCAGAAACTGCCACAGCTATGTGTTCCCTTATTTTTGGTGGTGTACTTGAGAGATTCCCAAAGTTAAAAGTTTGCTTTGCACACGGAGGTGAGTTATTTATTATGTGCTGTTTTTCTAGATTGAAATTTAAGTCTCTTGTATACCTTTATTGTAGTATATCAGTAATTTATTATTACAGTGGTATTTCAGAAAGATAAAAACTATTGGTTATATAATAAGCTTAAATTAAATTTTTAAAATGACATGCATAATCCTGTGCTTCATTTCTGTGTTTTGTATGCTTTTATTTTTTAATTTTAAGTAGAATTTGAATAAAATCTAATAAATCAAAATAATTAATAGATTGACAGAAATATATTATATTAAAAAAAAATAATTAACAAAATTACTTCAGATCACAAGAAAAATATACATTGATTCTAGTCTTATTGTGACTAATTTAAATATTTAACATATTAAATGCAAAAAAATTTCAAATTAATGTTGGGACATTTCTCACAAAAGCTGTTTATTATTGTTACAATGAAATTAATTAAATATAACATTTTGGTAAACCATCTTTTATTGTTTTTTTTTTAAAATATTGTAGGAGGTTCTTTTCCTTGTACCATTGGTAGAATCGAACATGGATTTAATGTGCGGCCTGATCTTTGCGCTGTTGAGAATGAAGTCAATCCACGCCAGTACCTGGGCCGCATATACACAGACTCATTGGTGCATGATCCTGAAGCACTCAAACTACTTGTTAATGTAATTGGGAAGGTAAATAAACCTGAATACTGTTGCTATTAATGAATATTATCTCTGTATTAGACTTCATATATAAAGGGCTTTGCCATGCCAAAACCAGCATTAGTAACCAAAACTAAAAAAATGGACTTTCTGATAAGTTTATATTCTCCACATTATAAGCTTTAAAATGATAGGTTACTTACAGGAATCAATCTACTATTGCCAAAGTTATGAGTAAAAGTAACACAGCTTCTCTGTCCTAAAGTGTACAATACTGACACATTCTACTGCTGATTACTCAGCTTAATACACTGATCTCTACTAAGATATCTGGATTACTTATTGGCTGGTTTTAGTGAGGCCACCAACACCTTATTGGAGGCCTGTTTATGCAGTTTAAAAAAGTGCAAGTGAAGTAATTTGCATTGTTAGTGATCGACGTCACTATCACAACGCAACAACACTCACACTTTTGTAAACTGCATAAACAGTCGCATTGAGTGCTTAGATGATTTTAAAATATTCTTACAATTATTTAAATTTATTATTGAAAAGTCTTGCAAGAATCGTTATTTTTAACAATAAGTTAAACAAATGCCAAAACAAACTTGTCTAAACTGGTACGTCACTTAGGCCCACCAACATGATGAGCAATCCAGCTATTATAGTAGTGGTTTAACATACTGTAGTGCTGTGACAGTACGCTGGTTTTGGGATGCCAAGCTTCATATATTATAAAACTTTGCCCTTCAGTGAAGCTGATATATTTAGACCTTAATCCTAGCGGATCTGTAGCTTGTTGGTCAAGATGCTTCTTTCCAATGTTATAGTTTTGGGTACAAATCCTGCAAACACCACACTAAAAACAATTGTAATTCCTCCTCATGACAAGAGGCTTATCCATCCTTTGATACTATTGATGATTCACTGTTAGATATGTATAAACATTGTTTTCAGTTCTTTAGATTTATTTTATAATTCCCTCATAATTACTTTATTTTACTTTTATATATTTTGTTTTAAGTACGTTAAATATGTTTGGTTTTGTACAAAGAATTTTACTAATATTTATATATAAATATAATTTTATAGATAATTATATTGGTTTATAAGACAATAGGTCTTCCTGCCTAGAGCATTAAAATAAATTATATATTTTTATTGCAGGATAATATTGTGCTTGGTAGCGATTATCCATTTCCGTTGGGAGAGCATCATCCAGGCAAACTGATTCAATCAATGGACGATTTCAGCGATGAACTTAAGGTGTGTTGTGTAATTGTCAAATTGGATGAATGTCTTCAATTTTTTTTTTGATATTTTAATATTACCTGAATCAGATAGTAACTATTTTTATATAATATAATAATATATATTAATACAATAATTGATTTTCAATTTTATGATTTATTATTTAAAAAAAATTATGTATGATACAATATACTGTATGATAGTTTAGATAATATAAATAGTATAATCTAATAGTAACTTGTGTGATGAAGCTGTGCATTTAATGGCAATAGATGGGTAAAGGCTGAAGTAGATGTAAAAATTTAAAATCTAAATTTTGACCAATGATATAGCATGCTACTGTACATCAAAACATGTTGATATTCATGTGTGCACTGAACCGTGGAAATCTGGAGGCTAGAGGGCTGAAATGCAAGTTACGGTGGTGCACAGTCTTTTGGATGAAACGTTTTAAGCCGTTGGTCCTGTGTGCATTATGGCCCATGTGCACATTAAAGTATGCAGTACTTTTCGAAAAAGAGTAGGGGATTGTCTCCTGTTGTACTGCCCAATCACCACCATTAGGACTCCACTTGGAAATATGTCTTCCTAAGTGGGTTATCCTTGGTGTTAACACTGAATTAATTCATCCATTGAGAAAGCTGCTATTGCAGGTACCTTATGACTCATAGCTTGATAGTCAGTTTGTTGCATTGTCATGTTGACTAGCACTAGTCATCATACTTTAAATACAACCAATTATTTATATGATCAGTCTGCTATTGGATTGACTTTGTGGTGATGAAGATAATTTAAGGTTACTAGATCGGTAAGATGTGTCCTGTTTTACCGAATTTAAAGTTCAATTAAAATGGAGCAGTTGGAGGTTATGTTAGTAGTTATAATATTTAATGTGCAATTTTTGTGTGATTCCCAGCTTGTGCAATCAATTTAATTATTAAATGTGGGTTATAAGTTTAGGCAATGAAATGAGGTCAGAATGTTAACCACACTGTTTTTTTGTTTTTTTTAACAGGATAAATTGCTAGCAGATAATGCCTGTAAATTTCTTGGTATCGACCGCGCTTTATACGAACCAGCTTGTTCTTCTCAATCTTCAACTGCAGTGTTATCGTCGGTGTCAGGCAGTGAAAATTCTGAACCCAGCCCTAAGAGACAAAAGACCGGAGCGTCCATTACAAACAGCATCTAGGCTTAATTCAATCATTGATTGTTGACCGTGCTGGGGAAACAGATGTCCAGTAGAATGATGAAGTTCGCCATTGATTGCGGTTATGCAAGTCATCATGTGACTACTAGTTCATATTAACATGCACAGTACATGTGACTATATACATGAAGTCTATATTCTCACATGGACTGGTCAGTAAATGCATCTTATCACATGAATTTATTATGTTGTCACATGAACATATGACAGTTACATGTGTGACAATCAAGGGCCATAGTGACTATTGGATGAAAAAGTCTTTGAGATGCACTGTAAGTGAGACTTTCTCATTTAACATTTTATATACTCATGTACATCACATTTGACTATCACATGAACATGTAATTTGGACACATGCATAGCACATTGACTCAACCAGGAAAATGTTATACGGTTTTGGTTAAATGTCATAGTAAATGTGACTATTAGATGAACTAGTCGTAGACAAACTGTGATTGATGTTCACATGAACATGCCATATAGTAACATGCATACAGTGGCATATCTTGATTCAGGGAGGTTAATGGGAGGGCTTACAAAGGTGAAGCAGGAAGGCTTGATGCTGTTTGGCAAAATAAGGTGATATGAGGTGATTTTAAACTACTTGAGTGTCTTGAATTTTCCAGTCGGGGCGACCTAGAGGAGATAACAAACTTTTCTTGGGAACTCCCACCACTTGGTATGCCACTGCATGCCTTAAGCAAATGGGACTATCACAGGAATGTGTGTAAACTGCCATTTTTAGGATAGGGTTATTTATTTTTCATAACTACAAGGCTATTAAGTTTTTTAGTTTTTAATTACAATAATTGTTATTTGGTCAAGGAGGAATATATACTTGTAAATAGTGTCAGTTAATTACTTAAAATATTTGCCAGAAAAATTATTTTCGATCTTAATCAGATGTGAGCGATGAAGAAGTATTCATGGTAGCTTCCATTGAAAAATGAATTTTATTTATTGTTAATTGTTGCTTTGTAAATCACTTAACTAAAGATTCATTTTTGCATTCATGTATTTTAAAAATATTATACCACAACTATTATTATTATTGTAAGTGTTATTTTAACATCTTTATTGTGTTCCATTGATGATATTAATTACATTATAAAAATATGTAATGCACCTGATGATGGGAGAAGGTCCTTTTAAATCGAACGTCTTTTCTCTGCTGCCATCTAGAGGACCAGTTTACAAGTCCCTACAATGTATACGACCTGGAGGATAGAACTGTAGATGCATCTGCAAAGCAAGCAACTTTTGTTTTGTTACAAACTCTTAGAATAATATTGATTTTAAACATTTTTAATTGTTAACCTATCAAATCTTTGCTTTTTATGTTACAGATACTCTACATAATCACTGATGCTTAGGCCTATGTGTTTTTCAATACTCTTGTAGGCATTATTTAGTTAATATGTAATACAGTACTGTAATTAGTTTTACTGTAAAATTGGGAAAAATAGAACACAAGATGCTGTAAATATAAAGACGTCTGTATTTATAATTAAAAGGTCTGTTGAATTGATTTTGTTTAGTTTTTTATTTTCTATTTATTAAATACTAAAACTTGTTTGAAATACCTGATTGTACATAATAAAATAGTGATACTAATATTAGTATTGGTGGTGATGAGATTATGATGGCGACAACAACGACGACAACCATGATTAGTACTATTAATAATAGTACTAATGATGATTGTAATGGCGATGACGACAATGATGGTGAAAACAGTGACGATGATGATGATGATGATAATGACAACAATTATAATAATGTCTAGTGTTCATGGTTAATAGCAATATTGGTACAATAATAAAAATAATATAAATATAAAAAATACTAATAATATAAATTAGTATCAAAATGATAATAGTACCAATTTTAAAACAAAAGGTTATAAATCCTGTGGAATCTTTCTCAATAAGACGGAAAAAAAATTATTTGGTCGGTAGGAAAACTTTAATTTTTTTTTTTTTTAAACTAAATGCCGACCCTTAATTTTATAAAATTTGGGTCGGTCGGGAGTGGTCACTGAGTAAAGAGACAAGGGTTGGACACATTTATGAAAATCAGGGGCGGATCCAGCCTCGCAAAAAAGAGGGGGCGTGAATGTGTGAACTGAGTGGGAATCTCGGGAAAGAGCCCCTGGTAGGGATGCAAGGAGGTTAATCTCCCTTAAATCTTTAGCACCTTTATTAATTAGATGTTATATTTGATTGATTTTTACTATTTACCTTGGTAATTTTCTGATAAACTTTACACAATTCTTTTTTTTTTACAAAAAATAGAGGGGGCGTACGCCCCTTACGCCCCCCTCTAAATCCCCCTCATCATTATCATCATCCCCACCATTACCATCATCATATTTATATCATAATCATAATCGTCAACAACAACATCATTAATATCATAACCACCACCACTATCAACATCGTCGCCATCAACATCATCATCATAGTGACCAACCCACTCGCATCGTGCGGACCGGGTCCCGCATTTCAAAGTGATTTTGGTTGAAACACGCATTTTGCAGAAACACATGCGTGATCATAAATTTGTCACGCATTTAGCACAGGGCTATACGTGATAACGAATTGTCACAAATTCCGGGGAAAATCTATTTAAAATTAGAAGAAATTAGTTGTATAAAAAAAATATAAAAACGGTCATGCAGTTTAAACTTGAGTCATTGACAGTATTTACGTGGATACTTAATTTGCGCTACTAAACATTAATCAGTATGCCTATTCAATTTTTGTTGTTTCCTGTTCCCTGGTTTAAGTAATAAAATGTTTGCGTACATAGTTCGGGTGCCTCAAATTTAACATAATGTAGGTCCTACATTGAAACTCAAATTGTATGTGTCTTTATTAAAAATATTTTTGTACCCGGTATTGTCAACAAACGCTCCTTGAAATTGATTTAAAACAGTTAAAATGCTCAGATCCTCAGGGCTCCGCCTCTGGACCCCGGGCCCTGCTCCCCACCCCTCCCCCCAACAAATTGGTGTACTCACGCATTTCAAATCTTTAAGGTTGGTAACTATGAACAAAACATACAGTAATCTGTCGATTCTGAAATTAAAACTTTTAAAAGTAAAAATTTGGCCAATTTTCTGCAAAAAAAAAAAAAAAAAACGCGTAAAAATTTCGCGTTCTGGTGGCACCTACAGCCGCTTTAAAAAAGTGATTTCTATTTTTTATTCAAAGTCTCGCTTTTAATTTTGTTTGAAGTTTAGATAGAACGGCGCCTCTAGACATTTCCAATTGTTTCATATTCATCATTTGCATATTTTATAATATATTTTAACACGATTTTAGTAGCCCTTATTTATATGAAAAATAAAGTACTTTAGGATAATACTAAATGTTCATTAAAATCACTAAAAATTATTTTTAAAAATAAGGCGAAAAAAAAGCAATTTCGCTGTACAATTATACAATAAATAGGCCTTATGTATCGTTGATTGTTTCTGCAAGTAATAACACCAATACCATACGTACAATTGAACCAAATATATTCTAATCACATGCTAACTATAATCACCTGACTCTCTCCCTGACGGGTTCCGGGGTCGACGAGGCTTCTTGTCGGTCTAGATGTGTATAAGAGACAGTATATACACACAAATTAAATGTACACATATATAACTTTTTTTTTCAATGCTTGGAAATAAATATAAAATGAATTATGCCCTTCTTCTCATCTTATTCAATGTCTGTGTTTACCTCAATAAATTAAATATCTGAAATATCCTTATAGGTCTAAACCAAAAGTGAAGAAGAATTGCTTCATCAATATTAGCTACGTTGTCTATTAAACTAGCAATGAAATCCACTGATGAAATCCTTTCGAGCACGACCTCAACAAAATACATAAAACAGGAAATGACGTGGTTGCTAAGCAACAAGCTCATGCATAATCATGAATATTCAGTAACAACTGTTCTACTTACACTAACAATAAAATCTTTTTGGTCGATTTTGTCAAAACTGAGCTAAAAGTTTTTATTGTTAGTCTAATGAGCACAGGTGTTACTGAATATGCATAAGCTGTTGCCTAGCAACCGACGTCATTTCCTAATTTGTAAAATTCGACGGCACCTTGCTCTTGAAAAGTTTCGTAATTTGTATCATGTGAATATGTGGAAATATTTATTTTTATAAGATATTGTAGTAGCCTATAGTAGTGGTACCGTATTTTGAAATTATTCGAAATGATTATAATATAATTCGACTGATTAATATCAAGAAATATATCATTAACGCAATACGACAAAGGAAGTACACGATGATGTATAAGTGCTATAGGCCTAATTACATGTAAGTACGGTATGTAATATCGTTTCAGGACCCCTGCTCGTTTTACAAGAAACATGAATTACAAATTGAATTAAATTCCGATGATCTAGTGGTATAAAACCTAATAATCGGCGCAAGTGACGATTATTTGCAGAAGACATAAATCCGGCTGTTGATACGCATTGTGTTCCGACAATTTTATATCGTATTCAGGTGATAATATTGAACATCGATCTCGCATATCTTCCAGATGAATCGGTAACGGTAGATTTAACCTGAGACACTGAAATAAAAAAGATTGGACTAGTGAAAATTACATTCAATTCAATTCAATTTTTATTACAAATGAAAATACATCATTTGGATAATATAAAAAGGTAAATATTAAAAAATGCACAAACATTAAAAAGTGATTATATAAAAACACTATAGAACAATATATAAAAACATTCAAATTTAGAATAAAGATTTACAAAAATTACGTAAATAATATTATTTTCATTTTGATATAATAATTTTGAATAAAGTGTAATGCTTAAAAGCAAATATTAAATGTTCATTTTAGACAATACTCTCGGAACCCCTACAATACCGATTGGTAGAACCTAGTCTTCTAAAATAAGGACTTAAAATCGAGGCTCAGCGTACAAATCTCTGACTCGTGTGTGAACCCATTGCATCTTTCAGAGGAGTAGGGGTTTACCCCGATGCTATGCTTGTGGAATAATGTGAACATGTACCGTACCACTATGCTTGCTATACGACGCAGGTAGCCACGGGCCACGCCCATACGTAATTCAGTACAATGAAGCTGCGAGTTATGGATTATTCTTCTGTCGTTACCTTTACATTTTCTAACACACAAAAAAAAAAAAAACATCAACTAGATTGTAACTTTTAATAACTCCCCAGGCGGGGAGTCATTTATGAATATAATTATTGTTGGCTTTTAAGTCTCTCAAAATATGGGAGGATGACAAGACAGAAGAAGGTTTCCCCAAGTCATTTAAACGTATGTTATTTGTACAGGCATTCAGTATTACGGTTTACAGAAAAAAAGAAAATTCTAGGCCCTACTCGAATTTCGAGTCTAAGAGTGCCATTTCCGGCCATCCAGAGGTACCATAATATTGTTCTTACCTCAGCCCCAATCATGGTGGGGCTGAGGGACTAGATAGTGTATACCCACCATCTGTGACAGTCGGTCTCTGGGCCCCCCTCTATTTAGAATTCCGGGATCCGCCACTGGCATAGAATATTCAACTTGTATATGGCAATACAGTGTACTTGCAGTATTTGGCCGACTTGGCTTCACAGACTATAACTATCTAATGAAGGCGGCCTTTTTGCGAGTAACTGTAAAGAGAAAATGTAATAACCTTGTTTATTCTGTATGGATAGCATTATTAAATAAGTTGAAATAGACAATAAAATGTATTTTAGTTTTATAAAAAATAATTATGTAAAAATTATAACATTCAGTAATTCATTTCTTATAATTTGCCGCCCATACGTTTATATAAATATTTTCCATGTAAATATTGTTACAGTTGTAATCTATTATTAGGCCTATTATTATTATTATTATTATTATTAATTAATTCAACAAAAATTTATTAATACAGATGATAAATCTTGATGTTATTAAATTCTAGTTTTATTTAACGCATGATAAAGAGGGTGGGGGTAGAGAAAAAGTTCCGGGTGAGTGGGGGGTAGGGGAGAAATTGTCCGATGGCGGATGTTCGGGAAAAAATTGTCACGGGGGAAAATGTCACCGTGTGAGTGGGAAATGTCGGGGGGAAAATGTCACCGTTGGGGTGGGAAATGTCCGGGGAAAAAACTGGTGGAAAATGTCCGGGGAGGGGAATAGCCTGCTTCCGATTATTAATATTTGACTGCCATGTAAGCGCATTATCAAATATTACCCCCTAAGTTTACGGGAAATAACTTGTTCTAGTTTGTGACTATTTGGGTCTAAACAGTAAGAGCCCAATCCCACTAGCGAGAGATTGCGGGTTCGATGCATACAACTATTAAGGAACTTTTGTTAATCTACAACACCTTTGAGCACTGTATTATTATTATTTATTTGAATTATACATTATGTGTGTTCCCAATTTGATTTGATTTGATTTATTTTGCATTCAATATCACACACATAACAATAACATTTTGAGAACGAACAAGGAGATGAATAATTAATTGAATGCCTGGATGAC